CCGTGCAGATGGTCGTCCGCCTGCGCGACCCCGTCCCCGGGAGGGACGCCGCCCTCTTCCATTTCCTACGCTCCGCCCTGTTCCGCTGGCTGTACAACCGCGCCTTCGCCGCTGCCGCCGTGGTCCAGCTGCGCGCTCACTACGACAGGGAGTTTGTGTACGGCGCCGTCCGCAGGCGCAAGGGCGACGCCGATGAGGCCGAGTACCGCCCGTTTTTGGAGACCGTGCGCCACAACCGCGAGCTCGACGTCTCGCTGCGCCCGTACCAGGAGCGCGCAGTCGCGTGGATGCTGTCTCGAGAGCTAGGCCCCCCTTTGGATTTGCGGAACCCCGTGGAATGGGAGGACGCGCGACGCCTCGCGGGGAGCTGCCCGTTGAATGACCAGCAGTCCGTCCGGGTCCAAGCGCACGTCACGCTGGACGTTGTGCACGGGACTATTGAGAGAGCGGAGGTGAGGGACGAACAGGAGGCGCCGGAGGGAGATGGGTGTAGAGGCGGGTTATTGTGCGACGAAATGGGACTGGGCAAGACGGTTGAGCTCATGCAACTTGTGCTTTGCAACACGTTTAAGCCCCACGCCTTGAACGGCAAAGTGAAAGGTTTGCCTGAGGTTCGCGACAATGACAGATGCATGGAATGCGAAGGCGACGTGTCGGAGAGAGACCAATACAGCACATGTCTTGAGTGTGGTGGAAACCTACACGAAGAGTGTACACGAATGAATTTTGAAAGGGTGGATAGCGAGGGCTTCGTCTGCAAGTCATGTCATAGTTCAATGGAAAGGCTGCTAAGAGCTAATACACCATTATCGCAACTTCCGAAGTCCAAGGCAACGGTCGTCGTCATCCCAACGACGCTGCTCCTGCAATGGAAAAGAGAAGTAGAGAAACACGTCAGAGAAGCGCTGACAGTGGAGGTTTATCAGGGGCACAAGAAGGGATACATGCCATTGACGAGGTTGATGAAGGCAGATGTAGTCTTGGTCACATATGATGCATTGAAGGACGACGTGCACACGTTCAACGCTCTCCGAAACCCACGACGAGGTTTGCGACACGCCAAAGTACACCACCCGATTCCTCTTCCCCTTTTAAGCGTTCGGTGGCACAGAGTGGCTTGGGATGAATCCCAAATGCTCGGCGCAACAGGTGTTTCTCAGGCTGCTCAGTTGGCCAAGTATTTGCACGCCACTTATCGTTGGTGTGTGTCTGGGACCCCGATGACGCACTGCATCCGAGAGGCAATACCCATGTTTGATATACTGCAAGTTCAGGACGGGAGGAATTTTGTCGACTGGTCCTCCTACTTCACGCCCAGTTTCCTCGTGGAGGATGAAAAGAGATTGCGAAAGGCCTTGCGAGCTGTGATGTGGAGATCCTCGAAGGACGATGTAAATGATGACGAACTTGGGCTTCCGCCTCAAGTCACTGAAGTTGTGCACACGTCCTTCGGTCCGGTCGAGCGATATCATTACTCTTCTCTGCAGGAGAAAGTCAAAACAGCTACTGCAAAGTTGCCGGTAGGAGCGGACACGCGCTCACGGACCATCTCGTCGGACCTTTTAACAATGCTGCGACAGGCGTGTTGTCACCCTCAAATCGGTATTTCCGGGAGAAAACTGATGTCTCGATTAGCGCGACAGGCTCTCGGACCATCTGGCGCGAAGGCCCTCACACGGTACGACGCAGCATCGCAGGCAATGAAACGAGCCGAGTCCCCACTCGATATGAACGAGGTGCTCCATGCGCTAGTGACGAAGGCACAGGCTGAGTGCGCAGAGGCACTGCGAAGTTTCGTTGCCTCTGCAAACGGCCTTGCGGCTACCTGCTGGCTACAGCAATCAATTCTTTCATCATCATCAGCGGGAGTGGATGGAATTGTTTCTGCCATACAATTGTATAGGGAGACCCTGGGTCTGGTTGAAGAAAACAAGAACGTCGTGCAGATGGACACTATCCAAAGGATGCATATCCTGTTCAATCTGAATGAAGCTCTAGATTCTGTAGAATCGACGAGAAAGAAAGTGTCAGGTTTACCAATTTCAAATGCAGAAAGGCAAAATGCCCTCTCTCAACTCAGCTCGCTTGGGCGAACTCTTCGAGACGAAGACTTGTTATACGAGGTCAACAAGTTGAAGCAGGATTACGTTGCTGAAGCCCAAGCTCAACTGGTAGCTGCGGACGCATCATTCAAAGAGCTAGCGAGCAAATTGGGTCGCGAGCCGCTCATGGTTCAAGAGAAAGATTATGAGACGGAAGACGATTTCGAGACTGCTGTACCTGCTGGGGTATATGTCAAGCCTAACACGACTACGATGTACTGGTGGGATGTAGCCGTTAGCGTTGTTCTTGAAAAGGAGCAAAAAAAGCGGGAAAGCTTTGTGGATCGCGTGATACGCAAGTTGCTGGACGCCATTCCGGGGGGAGGGTTGAATGTCAGAACTCTTGCGCATAGGCTGTCTAGCATTCATTCCTTTACTGTTATTATTCCCCCCGAGATTGCGAAACTGCAACACGCTCGAGACAAACTGCACAAGGCCTTGCGTGAAATGCCAGGTTCAGTGCCACCCTCGCAGGCACAAATTGCCGAATCAGGTCAATGTAGGGAATGTCGTGAATTTGGAATTGGCCCTCCTTGCAGTCATTGTCGAGCTGAACATCTGTTTGAAGATGTTGAAAGACGACTATACGCCTTGCGGGAAAATGACACCTCAGCAGACTTTGTATTGGGTGGCGAAGAAGAACGTGTGGAGCGCACTCCTTGCCCTGATGAGACGGAAGCAGATGCAAAGGCAATTGTAGATGGTGCATTACGACCAAAATCAAGGGTAAACAACTTTGCGCAGAACGCCGGCGGTCTACGCTTCCAAAGCGAGCTGGAGACGATTCTCAAGTCATTATCACTGGTTGCGAAGGAAGCTGGGGACAGCAAACTTGATAAGAGAATATCGCAGTGGTTTGATGGGTTTCAACTGATGAAAAAAGAGCACGCAGAAGCTCGTGCTGTGTTCGAAGCGCAGCGGTCGTATCTTGCGAGAATGGATGAAGTGAATATGGCGCTGATGCGACTCTCTGTGCTTGGACGCGACGAAGACTTATCCTCACTTTCAGTGGACCAGCAACGACATCGGGTGCCACGCGAAAGCCTCAGTACGCTCAACGTTGAATTTTCAAGTGAAAAGGCTGTTGCTGAAGGTGATTTCCGGGGGAAGCGTGGGAACCTTGTCTTTTTGCAGTCGCTTCAAAAATCCAGCGAGGGGGAAACGACAGCTGGAGATGAGGTTGTAACAAGGGGAGCTTGTGCCGTTTGCCTCGGGGAATTTGATGACTCGGTAACGGAAGTTGCCCTGTTTGCTTGCGGTCATATTCTATGTTGCCAATGCACGCTGCTGATGATCAAAGGAGCGGATGCAAAGTCAAGAGTATCAAGCATTCGGTGCCCGACATGTAGGGTGAAATGCTCGGTAGCGGAGATTAATTTCACGCGCAGCGCCGGTTGCAAAATGCGGGAGAACTCGGCATCGACAGAGGGGGAACAGGGTGAATCAGACGGTAGCAGTGAAAGCGGGGTGGAGGAAGACTCTGTGGTGGTGGGCAAGCGTAAGCGAGGGCGACGAGATGTAGAGGGGCGCAGGTGCAAGGCGCGCAAGGTGACAGAGCGGGACTCGACGTTCTACGACGGGTCGGCGGCTGTGGTGGGGCTGATCGGTGCCAAAGCCAGCGGGGTGGTGCGAACTCTGCGGGGCATCTGGCAGCAAGACGGGTGTGCCAAGGTGATCATATTTTCCGAGTGGAGCGAGGTGATCAACGTGGTGTCGCGGGCGCTGCGGATGAACAAGATCTCGCACCGGAACGGGGCGCAGACGACGCGAGCGCTGGAGTTTGCGCGGATGATCAGCGAGTTCAGGGTTGGCAAGGCGGCGGGCGTGCTGCTGCTGCCGCTGAAGAAGGCGGCGGCCGGGCTCAACTTGACCGAGGCCAGGCACGTGGTGCTGATGGAGGCGAGCATGGACGTGTCGATGGAGAGCCAGGCCGTCGGCAGGGTGCATCGCATCGGGCAGGAGGGCGAGACTTTCGTGCATAGGATGGTGATGAAGGACACTATCGAGGAGTGCGTGCTGAGGTTTGGAGACGCGTTTCGCGGGGCGAGTCGGTGCGAGGCGGAGCGCAGCGTTAGGTTGGAGGATGTGATTGGGGAAATTTGCCAGGGGCAAGGACGAGGCGGCGGCAAGGATTACGAAGTTGTACAGTAGACTTGTGTTTCAAGATACGGTACTCGTGGCGTCGCGCGCAACTCTACAGTCTAACTTGTTGTTGGTGCTCTGGCGTGGCGTGTTTAAAAGTGCTCCATTTTTGAAAGAAAGGTTGCGGCGAGTTTGTGTCGCTCTGCGTGTGCAGCAGTGCAATGATTGCTCAAAGAGCGCGCCTTCTCTAACCTACAGTAGAATAGAAAAAGGCGAGTTGTTGCAGTAGTCATGCAGTCCGCTTTAACTGGAGGAGTCTGACATCAACTGGCAGTCATATTTTCACACCAACCAGCTGCCCACCTCCCCTTTCTCTGTGTAAACCCCTAAAACCCCCTAAATCCCCCTAAATCCCCTAAAACCCCTAGAGAATAGCTTTAACAGTGACAAGCATTGCTGTTAGTAGGGTACTGTTACGTGTCAACGGTGGATCAGGATCAAGAAAGGCAATCGGGATCTGAGCTACATCCGTGGAGGGCACAATCACAGCTGACCGTCACAGCGGGCACAGCAGACATGCGTGGCGAGCTGGCGAGCTGTGCGCAAAAGAGCTGCGCACAATAATAAAAAAAGTTTGATAAAATAAACTTGTAAATAAACTTGTATGTGCACAAAAGAGGCGTGCAAAAGATCCGGGGGGATTTTTTTAACAAGGGGCAGACAGCAGGCGGCAGGCGGGGGGGGGGCGGCTGAATCGATGTGGGGGCACTGTGATCTGATGCGGAGGCCCTGCGCCGAAAATCCCTACAGTATGGGAAATCCGAGACTAACAATTTTAGGGGTCTTCGCGCGTTTGTCATACTACGATTGTGTAGCTTTAAATTTTAAAGTTTAAAATCTATAGCGGAGGCCCTGCGCCGAAAATCGAGTAGGCGAAAATCTGCCCCCACATCTGCGGCGCACGCTCGTTGGTGAAATATCCCGCCCCCGCAACGCCCCTCGTCCAACCGCATTCGCGCACCTCGGAAGATCTGCATTCCGCCCACGCCCCCAACTGCGTACCCTATCCGCCCTTGCCCTGCCCGGCCCCCCACTACACCCCCGTTC